GCAAAAGTGTATAGATTTTTGCTTTATGTAATGTTTGATTATCCAGTTTTATTAAAAAGGGTCATATGCTGAATTTGGACTCTATGTTGTTTTCAAGAAACAACCACATAAAAAAGATGGGGATTTTATCCTTTTTTTAAAAAAAAAACCCTAACCTTTCTGGTAAGAAGTTTGTTTGCTTCAGTTTCTCTTGCATCATGCTTTCCCTTTGACTTCAGACATTAAGCAGGATTTTTTTTGTATCTTCAAATCAAATTCTAGGCTCAAACAAAGTCAGCTGTTGTCTGTGTGGCAGCTGAGAAACAACTGTCTCTCTTTGCCTGTGTTAGCACGTACATGCAGTTGACTTGCAGTATGTGAATGACTGGACCAAGCATACCAGTTATGTGAATGAGAATTGTTTTCAGCGTCCATTATCCTCTGTTCAGTGTTCCTGGGGATCCTGAGGCAGTCTAAAAATGTGAAGCATTCCTACGAGAGGAAAAGGAAAGCTGAAGGGCCCTTGTGTGTCCATTGATATTAGCATTCTCCAGTTTTCCCTGGTTCTAGTTGTGGTTTGAATGTGCTGCATAAAGAATATTGGCTCAGTCTACCTTCCATCTGAGACAAACAGGTATTCTGGGTATTTCCATACACAAGTAGTTCTTTGCAAGTGCTAAACCTGAATCTGTGTTGTAGGTAGCTTTGTCTCCAGTCTTGTACCAGTCCCTGTCTCTTGGACAGACCTTGGACCTATGTTACAGTCATGTCCCTTGCTGTTCTTGCCTGGGCTTCTTGAATGGACGCTGGACCTGCCTCCCTATCTCACCTTGTGTGACAAATCACTGAAGGGCTGGTGGAGCTGGTTGCTCTTGCCACCTCAGCCCTCCTTAGGTATTGCAAATCTGCATCCCGGTGAGTTAGGGGATGGCCTTGCCTGTGCTGCTGTCACCCTTGCTGCCTGACGTTAATGGAGCAGCGTCACTCTCACTGCTCCCTGACAGCCAATTACTTTGTTAGGAAGCATAAAATATCAGTTACCTTAATGACTCTGGTAACTTTTAGCTTTTTATTAGTGAAAGGTGAATCCCATTTGGAATTCAAAACTGGCACCATTTTATTTAGGCTACTAAAAATTTAGTGTTAATGGATATTGTATGTAAATAATGAATCAATATGATTATACTGACTTCTAAGTAGTGTATTTGGCCCGAAGAGCATGCTTCATTTCTTATATCTGCTGTACCTGATCTAGACTTATTGTTCTTGCCTTTGGGGCTTGGATGTGAGGAACTAATTCATGTCCTATTTCTATTCACGGAAGTTTTAGTCTCTAGTGTTTATTGTTGTGATGGTTTGTAGAGTGAATGCCGCAAAGCTCCTCAACACGAGTCACTATGTTATCAGGAACTCTGGGGATAAATCTGTCTTTCTCTCTCTTTCTACTTATTGGAGCAGAAAATGTTCACAGAGGAGTTGATCCAGTGGTAATTAAACTGAATCCCATAATCAAGAGAATCGGAGCGTTATTCAGCTTTGCTGGAGGAGAAAAACATACTTTCTCGCCTTTTGGAAAACCCAAAGTAATATCCTAGGATGGGCAAAATCAAAGTTCATCCTTCCTGTACCATCAACGCTGCAAGCTGCAAGATTTGCATTGCATCATTGTGATTGGGTTTCATTTGTAACAGATGTTGAAGGACATTGTGTCATACATAAAGTATGAAGTACTGTGTCATGAGACCCGGCCCCATTCGGTTAGGGGTTCCCGTTTTCACAGTCAGCATTGCCCAAGCCACGCAGCGCCATGCCGAGCCCAGCAACTGCCCAATTACATGGGGTGGCCACAGCCATCCTGGCTGTCTGGGGCTGGACACGGGGGTCTCTTGGTGCAGCTCACAGGACAGGTCTCTGCTTTCCACGCAGAGGGGTCTGTGCCGGGGGCAGTCCTTAGGCATCTTCCAACTTGTTCCTGTCCCCCCAGTGTGCTGGTGCCCCCCACCCTTGTGGACTTCCCCCAGATCATACATGTTCGTGCTTGTTCAGCTGCCTTGTAAAGCGGTGGGTGCTGAACCTGCCTTTTACTTGTGTTAATGAACTTTCTATTCACATTTAAATAGTAATTATTCATTTCATTAGCTCTTAGCATGTTTTATACACTATATGCCTATGCTTTTTCTGATATGTTATATATAATTTATTTATCTACATATGTGTATATACGCTATGTAAACACAGATATAAATATATATACTCTATAGCGTGTGTATATATATAAAGCGCATCTATGAGTAAATAAGTAACATATGCCTATTTGTAGCTTCCCTTATATCTATATTTATATGTATACTTATATTTAGTTTCTATGTTCTATATTCCATATTTTATATTGTTGTATCGGGTTTTGGTGCCCAGGTGCGGTGCTGGCAGGGGTGGCTGCAGGGGCGGTCTCTGTGAGGAGGGGCCGGGGCTGCCCCATGCCAGACACAGCCGGTTCCAGCGGGCTCCGATGGACCGGCCGCAGGGCACAGCTGAGCCCCTCAGCCATGGGTGGGGTGCCTCTGGGAAAACACATTTAGGAAAGGCCAAAAACACATTTAGGAAAGGCCAAAAACACAGCATAGGCTGTGAGGCGAGAGGGGAAAAAAAAGTGTGAGAAACAGCCCTGCAAGCACCAAGGTGAGAGGAGCAGGAAGAGGGGGACGAGGTGCTCCAAGTTCCAGAGCAGAAATTCCCCTGCAGCCTCTGGAGAGATCATGCTGGAGCAGGTTTATTCTGAAGGGCTGCAGCCTGTGGAAGGACCCACACTGGAGCAGGGGAACAGTGTGAGGAGGAGGAAGGAGGGGCAGAGTCAAAGTGTTATGGACTGACGACAACCCCCCCATTTCCCATCCCCCTGCACCGCTCGGGGCACGTGTGAGGGAGGAAGGTAGAAGAGCTGGGAATGAAGGAGAGGAGTTGAGCCTGGGAAAGGAAGGGGGGGGAGGTGTTTTAGTTTTCTTTTTTCCTCACTGTCCAAATCTATTTTAACTGCCAATAATTCAAGTTAATTTTCCCCAAGTATATCATAGGCAGGAGTGTCCCGCTTTGGTGCCTTTCTGATGTAGACAGGAAGGGGCAAGTGGTCCTATCAGCCAGTCACAGGGCAGTCTGTGAAAAAGCGGTGTATGGTGTCTTACAAAATGGCAACCCCTGGGGGTAGAAATAGGTGAGGGGAACAGACGAGGTGACTGGAAGATGTACAGGATTTTGGGGCAAGTGGAACACATGGTGGGCAGTAGGGGCAGGGCTTCCCCTGCCATTAGGGCAGTGGCATCTGTCCCAGCTCATGCTGGGTCAGGGTTGTCCTCATGCTGCTTTTGCCCTCTGCCAAGCTGCCTCCGGTTTGTCACCTCTGTGCTGTACCCTGGGGACCCATCTGTGTGCACCACCCCAGGTGTAGTCCGGCAAAAGGGAACCATCACTGCCCTTCACATGCTGTCAGGGCTACAGGGGAGGCAGCCCAAGATACGGGCAGTCTTCATCCAGTGTGGGTTTGGGCCTGCCCCATACTATGTGCAGGACTTGACATTTGTTCATGTTGCGTTTTATGAGATTCCTGCAGGCTTGTTCCTTAGCCTGTCCAGGCACCTCTAACCAGTGGCTCTGCCCTCAGGTTTATTGACTGAACCCCTGGTTTAGTGTCGTGTGTGGACTCGATGAGGTGCATTTCATTTCCTTTTCTGGAACACTGATAAAAATGTTGACCAGGGCAAGTCCCTGAATAGAATCCTAAGGAATTCATTTTGTCACTGGTCTCTAGGTTGAACATGAATTTTGCCCCTTCATGATAAGCTCTTCCTCCTATATTTTTCATGTAAAAGCTACCAAAAGCACAGTAGGTGTAGTTTGTTTATTTCTGTTTGCTGAAATCTCACAATTTTAATAGTACAGCCACCAGGGCTGTTAGTCTGTCATTTGCTTTGAAGTTCTTGAACTAGCCTTGTCAATAGTGTTTATCTTCTTCAGAAGGGTTTCTCATTGGAAAAATGTCTCGTCATATGCAGGACTGTTAAGGTTTTAATTGCTGGTTTGGGAGCTCAGGAGTTTAGATACAGCCTCTTGGCATGGAATCAGAGGAAAGGACAGCTGGAAGAGCTGGTACACAAGAGGGAATGTTTCTGGCTGTTAGTGGAAGAAATTTCAGTTTTCTTACTTTTCTCTTGTTTTCTGCATGACCTTAAGAGGTGGTGAAAACTGTAGTGCAAACGTATCAGAAGTCTGTCTTTCTGGTCTGTCCATCAGAGTTCTTCATACATCATTTATTTTCACCAATTGTTTAAATGTTTAACATGTTACCAGTGGTGGAAAGATGGCCGAGACATTGTACATGTCAAAGTAATGGGTATTCTGCCAGCATTTAAGCATTTAATCAACTAGGATTCAACTGTACATTTTGTTTTCCAATTCTCATGACTTTTCAGTTTTGCTTTTTTAAACTATTTTTTGGGGCAGGAGTATATATTTTGAGACTTCCGAATTTTTTTCTTGATCTGAATGGTGATACTAGAAATACTGTGGTAGTAGCCATTTCTTCTGTATTTATGTATGCTTTGAATTTATCGAATGCATTTAATGGAACATTTTTCATTAAAGTTACTGTTCCTCACTCCAGTCATATGTCTAATTCTACTTTAATTAATGCATTATCAATTATGATACCTTTCTACTGCAGCACATAAGCTATATAGCAATCAGTGGAACATGAAACATTCACTATGACAAGCTTCTGTGGGAAATTATGCTTGATAATGTGAGTTTTACCTATTGATTTAACTGTGTTCAGCCTTCCTGTCATTTTTATTCCATGTTTCTTAAAAGTTATTGAATGCAAAATGATGATATTCACTTGACTAGGAAGAATTAACTGATTAAACACAAAGTACTGGTGATGAAAAAATTCTGTGAATGAGAGAGCTAAAACTAGATTTAGATTTACAGTTCAACTTGATGAGTCACTAAACACTGTTTTCTTTTTACAGATTTCTCTTGGTGCTGATTTGTTTAATATTCAGTGTACTATCTACTATAGACCATTATTCTGAATTTGCCACTGGAACCCTTTTCTGGATGGTAAGTGAACTTTTTTGGGAAAGACTCTAATCAGTTTGACTAACTTGCTTTAGGTGAACAGGGAAGATAACTGTTAAAAATCCTCATGCGAAGTATGCTACCAGGTTATTTAAAATAGTACCTGCTTTCATTAAAGGAAGGTCATAGTTCAATGGGGATGATTATTTTCTAGATCCGTAAACTACGAGGGTACTTGATAGATTAACAGTTTTTATAAATTTGCTTTTCATAAGGTATGAAACTGTACCCTGTAGCTCTTATAGTGGACAACTGGTGTTCATCAGTCTTATGCAGTGTGGAACAGGATATTCTACAGGCAGGAA